GCCAGAAACATCCTGTTTGCCAGTATGATCTAACCAACCTTGCCTGGTCGGGAAAGGCTGTCTTAACTCTTGCACTGATGCACTCCAGGAAGAATTGAAATCATATGTTCCTCGAGCCAAACACAATGGGCCCCAACTTCTCTTGGCTCTTCTGCAGAAAATATACAGACCTTCTCTCAGTAAGATTGAAACCCTCAAAGCCAAGCTACTTCACTTGGACATCACCAAGTTCCCTGGGGAGAATGTTTCCATGTATGTTGTCGATGCAAGCAGATCATCAAAGAGATTCGATTAAACTTTATGTCCAGTGATCCCATGCCTGAACTAACCAGCACATCCTGAGAGGTCTCCTTGGCTGTGGTTGTCCATACTTTCTGATCCAAAGTCCATGAGCTTGTTGTCAAGAGTGACATCAACGGATTTGATAGCAACTATGGGAACAAACAATTGGAAGCACTCGACACTTTGAATGACCTGGATGCCCTCTATCGGGTCCTCATTAACCAGAAAACTTATGAGCCTGCCAACATCTTGGATCCAAGGGATCCCAGGCCAAAGCCTTCCAGGCAGCAATTGACCAAAGCAGTTGAGGCAAAAGTTGGAGTCTCACTCAGGATCGAAACAGTGGATCAGCCAGTGGCGGTACCCGTCCTCGTGGAGGCGCCTGCTTTGATTGTGGAGCTACTGATCATCATAGAAACGATCCAGCATGTCCAAGCGAGGTGCTCCCAAGGACAACGGTCTGAGTGCTGAAACCAACTCCAAACTCACAACTCTTATCAAAGACAAGCTTGCTTCCATGCCTCCAAGGGAGAACATTCCCGATGATGCCAACACACCATTTCTGTTGATGGGAAGGTGGTTGCTAAATACTGTCGCAACTGTGGAAGGTTCTCCAAAGGCACCAGTGCTCATTTCACCAGTGAACATCGTGGGTTCCGCAAGTTTCCTTACAAGGCACCCTCTTCTGGTGGCAACACTCCTCCACCACCCGCTGCTCCAGCATCAGCCCCAATCACTGCTGGTGGCAACCTTGCTTCTTCGCCATGGGATTACCTATGTCCGCTGCTGATGTCCCTGTTCTAGCCACTGATGAGTTTATACACGCCAGTCCCAATGTTGGGTATGATTTCGATTCATGCAGGTCAACATGGCAGCAGTAGATCTCAGTTCTGATGAGACCTCCGCTCTCTTCAGCTACCTCAATGGGGCTTTCATTGATGCTTCGGCAGAATAACACACTTGGCAACAGTGTTTCTCATTGCCTATTCTTTTGCCCCATTTTTGCCTTTCTATCTCGGGTCTATTCCTTCTCTTGTATTGGAGGGAGAAGATGAGTCTGCTATACAGACATTTATCAAATACACTTCGAATTCCAGCCCTGATTCTTGGAGGGAGCAACCTTTCTTCAGTCTCACCGCTAAAATGGCTGATGTTGTCTCTGCTCCCATATCTTTCCCCACCATATCCTCATTGGACTATGTCTCCGGGTGCGGATGTGTGTTTGTCTTTCTTTGGTTTTCAACTTGCTTCTAAAGTTCAAAGGTTATACCATTCTTCAGTGGCTCTCTTGCATCACCAAACTTGTTCTTCACGCTTCAATCGGCCAAAACATTTCTATCATCTCTCCGGGGCCCACCGATGACAAAGAAGCTACACAATCACCTCTGTCCATTCCATCTGATTTGATTGAGGATGATTCACCAACATCACTGTCACTGGGATTCCAGGTTTATTCACCCAATCCCGGTTCAGAGGAAAGCTATGGAATTGATGACTTTGGAAGATCACGTCATCTTACACCTGCGCAAAGACACAATCTCTTTCTGCCACTACTGGCACTCCAACATCAGCCACCACAATCTGGAACACCCCTAGTGGGTCCCCAGGCACAGCCAGCCCAACCGGTCCTGTTACAGCGCCCACAAACAAAACGTCGATTGATCACAACAACACGAGACCCACACGGAACGATCCATCGCGATCGCTCGATCCATCGCGATCGCTCGTGTTGTTGTTGTTTGAGTTAACGAAAAAGTGAGGAGTTTTCTTCGAAGATATAAGGCAAGCATGACTCAGCCAATTCGAATCGATAATAAAGACCCTCGAAGCAGATTCAAGCATGACACACAAGCCGAGCCTTATGTATGCATTCGGAGCTCATTTTTCGACAAATTCTGTTAACTTGTCGATCGCGACCTCTGCTGTTAACCCGGCCGATCGATTGATCCATGCTGAAGTTGAGCATGGCCAAGGCTTTGCCGGTGATAGAGATAACAGTAGTAGCAGTAGAAGCAATAGTAGTAGTGGTCGAACGTGCAGTACCAGTAGTGGCTCCTGCAGCAATCGAGATAATAGGATCCTCATCGAGATTACGATCGTCAATAGGATTAAGAAAGGTGGACTCCCATAGGAGTCCATGGTATAATATATGGTCCTCATCGCGATTTCGATCGACGACAGGAGTAAGAACAAGGGGATTGCTTTCGAGCGAATCCAAGGAAAGTGAGTTGCAATAAAGGGAAGGACTATCGATGAAGAATGCAAGAGGAGACTCATCAGGAGCAATCTGCATCAAGGAGTAGCACATTCCATTGACAACCATAGGGGATAGACATATAAGAAATAGAATGAGTAACATCTCATAACCTCGCATGCTACCATGCGACAATACCATTGTGCATTGATTAATCTAACGATCTAAGAGATGTAAAGTTTGTATTTCCAAATAAGTGAGCAGTTATTGATTATTTTCTAGAATAAGCCTGCTAATTGTAAAGCTGTAAAGCTGAATTGTAAGCTGTATCCCGTCGCATATTTTCACGAACAAGCTTACCTAATTCATCCTGATGGAGCTGGGTATGCTGGGTACGCTGGGTTTCGCGAGACGATGGCGGTGGCAGAGGTGCCACCGTAGGACGAGATTGCTGGGTGTGGGGACTGGAAGGAGCGGCTGTGTGGCGGCGAGATGAATCCCAAGGGCGCATGAGAATTGGATTGGAAAATCGATGCTGCAGGGGATACGGGAGCTGGGTTTGGGTTTGGGTGGCCTGGGAGGACGTCACGGGAAGACGGTCCTGTGGCCAACTCCTCAGGGTCCTGCTACGGCCAGATTGCCAGCATTGGCCAAAGCTTGAACTTCAGTATCAGTGAGCACCCCATAATAGCCGGTGCAATTGGAGTAACAGATTCCACGGAGGGCCATGGGAAGGCAAATGCGTAGGGTAGTGTCCCCAGCTGAGCGCAGAATGACAGCAGGTTTGTTGTGGGCACTGCATGGTTCGGTCACGGAATGGTCCATCGGTGCCAATGATGGAGTCATGGGCTGCTTGAGCCCAAGCAGCTTTGAGAGGTGGATTTTGAGCCAGGTTCTCAACGCGTTGTCGAGTACCAGTGTTTGGGAAGCCATTGGCACCAGCAGCGGGAGCCGGAGCTGGCGGTGGTGCTGGGGCTCGAACAGGAGC